GGGAATGTCCCAGGACACTCACACGGCCACGGCCACCAGGCAGATGGAGGGGTTGGGGTTCCAGGCCACGCTCTTGACCACGGATCCGACGGGCAGCGTGCGCAGGCAGCGCCCCGAGCTCACCTCCCAGAAACGCACCGTGCCGTCATCCGAGCCTGTGCCGGGAACAACGGGATAGTGATGGGGAAACAATGGGATAACAATGGGATAACGATGGAATAACGACGGGGTAACAACGGGATAACAACGGGGTAACAATGGGGTAACAACGGGGTAACAACGGGGTAACGATGGGATAACAACGGGATAATAATGGGATAACAGCGGGGAAACAACGGGATAACAACAGGGTAATGATGGGATAACAACGGGATAACAACGGGGAAACAACGGGATAACAACGGGATAACAACGTCGTAGAGGGGAATGGGATAACGGGATAATGGGGATAATGGGGATAATGGGAATGGGGATGGGATAATGGGGGTGGGATAATGAGATTGGGGATGTGATAGTGGGGATGAGAAAATGGGAATGGGATAATGGGAATGGGATAATGGGAATGGGATAATGGGAATGGGATTCCCAAGAATAGGGCTGGGAATGGGGATGGGAATGGGATTGGAATAATGGGAATGGGGAATGGGATTATGGGAATGGGGATGCAATTCCCAGGAATGGGATAATGGGAATGAAATGGGAATGGGATGAGAATGGGATAACAGGAATGGAATTGGGATAACAGGAATGGAGATGGGCATGGCATGGGAATGGGATAATGGGAAGGGGGATGGGAAAATGGGAATGGGATTCCCAGGAACAGGGATGGGAACGGGATTGGAATAATGGGAATGGGGATTGGATTTCAGGGAATGGGGATGGGGTTGGGAATGAGGATGGGAATGAGATAATGGGAATGGGATAATGGGAATGGAATAATGGGATTGGGAATGGGATAACAGGAATGGGATTGGGACCCCAGAGCAGCTGGAAAAGCCCTGGAGTTTTCCGAAGGCACCGCAGGACGGGGCCAATCCCAGGATTCTCCCCCGGAGCCGAGGTTGGGATTTTCCATGGGGAAAAGCCCCAATCCCAACCCTGGCCCCAGAGCAGCTCTGGGTGGAGCTGGGCTGAGGATCCATGGGATTTATCCCGGGAATTCCCAATCCAGGGATGAATCCATACCTGACACCAACCACTGCCCGCTGGGGGAGACGCTGATGGTCCGCACCAGGCTGGAATGGCCACGGTAAATCTGGGGGAAAAAACGGGAATGAGGGAGAATCCCAAATCCCAGGAGCTCCATGGGAGCCTCCGGGAGCTGCTCCGGAATCCTCGGGAAGGGAGGAGGAATTTGGGATTTTGGGAAGGGAGGAGGAATTTGGGATTTTGGGAAGGGAGGAGGAATTTGGGATTTTAGAAAGGGAGGAGGAATTTGGGATTTTGGGAAGGGAGGAGGAATTTGGGATTTTAGAAAGGGAGGAGGAATTCGGGATCTGGAGGGAGCACGGCCAAGGCTGCCCCATCCCACATCCACAGGGATGGGAATTCCAGGGAATGGGGATTCCAGACCAGAATTCCAGCCCTTTCCGGGAGAATATTCCCGAAAATCCCAGCCTGAGGCTGTTCCCTGGGAGCAGATCCCGCCCTGGATCCCTCTGGATCCATTCAATCCCACTTTTCTTTGGGATGAGCCCCCCCAGATCCCTCAGCTGCTCCTGGGAATTCCTCCATTCCCATTCCAACCACGAACCCACCAAATCCCTGTTTGCCCCAAAATTCCAGGAGAATATTCCCAAAAATCCCATCTTGATCCCATTGCCTCTTTCCCCATCCCTTTTTCCCTGGGAGCAGATCCCAAACTCCACCTGGATCAATTCAATCCCAGTTTTCTCCGGGATGAGCCCCAACAGCTCCCTCAGCCCCCACTGGGAACTCCCCCATTCCCATTCCCACCAAATCGCTGTTTGCCCCAAATTCCAGGAGAATATTCCCAAAAATCCCATCTTGATCCCATTGCCTCTTCCCCCACCCCTTTTCCCCTCAGAGCAGATCCCAAACTCCACCTGGATCAATTCAATCCCAGTTTTCTCCGGGATGATCCCCCCCCAGCGCCCTCAGCCTCTCCCGGGAACTCTCCCATTCCCATTCCCACCAAATCCCTGTTTGCCCCAAATTCCAGGAGAATATTCCCAAAAATCCCATCTTGATCCCATTGCCTCTTTCCCCATCCCCTTTTCCCCTCAGAGCAGATCCCAAACTCCCCCTGGATCAACTCAATCCCAATTTTCTCTGGAATGATCCCCCCCAGCGCCCTCAGCCTCTCCTGGGAACTCCCCCATTCCCATTCCCATTCCCACCAAATCCCTGTTTGCCCCAAATTCCACGTGGGAATATTCCCAAAAATTCCCTCACCAGAGCCTGGGTGGTGGGGAACGGCTGCAGATCCCTCGGCCGGGGCAGTTTGGGAATGAGATCCTCGGGATCCACGTTGACCTGCGGGACGGATCAATCAATCCCACCTGCTCCCGACGCTCCGGCCGGGAATTCCGGCATTCCCGACCCAACATTNCGGGAGGCGCCGCTGCCAAAGCGGGGGGAGCTCCGAGGAGGAAAAACGCCGGGAAAACGAGGCCGTTCCCGGGTGTTTTTTCCAGCTGGAAATGCTGGGTTTCCTCCGGGATTCATGGAGTTTTGGGAGGGTGGGATAATGGGATAACGCAGCTCGGAGCTGCGGGGATTGCCAGGTGGATGGCGGGAATTCTGCAGGGAAATCCCGGGGGATCCCGGAGACTTTTCCAGGTTTTTTTTTTTTTCTGGGAGAGCCGCAGAGGGGTTTGGGATGCAGCAGCCAGGGAATGGCTCCCCGTGGAAAATCGGGATTTTGGGATGGAATTCCCAAAGAATCCGGGGCTGCTGCTCCATCCCTGGAATATCGGGAATGGGACAGGGAATGACACCTGACACCTCTGGAATTTCCATGCCACGATTCCCTCTTGGGCTCTCCCCGGGCAGGGAATTCCAGCAAATCCCAGCGGCGGCTCCTCAAGGGTTAATTCCCAATTCCCGGGAGCAGCGGGAATGGGAAGGGAGCGGGATAAATCCCAATTCCCAGAGGGAATTCCACGGGAATGGGAAGGAGGGGGTTACAGGGATGGGGGGACAGCGCCAGCGGTGCCATCCCGGCATGGAAAATCCTCCGGGAATCCTCGGGATCACCGGGAATGTCGTGGGCAGAGAATTCCCTCGGCTCCGGGCGCTCCCGGAATTCCAGAGGCATCCCAGAGTCTCCCCCCCCCGGGAATTTCGGGACCGGGACAAGGAAATTTATGGGAAAAACCGGGAAAGGAGCGGCGAATTCCCCGGGAATGTGGTGAATCCCGGGTGGGGGGAAAATTCCAGAGGGATCCCAGAGTGCTCCCCTCCGGGAANGAGATGGACACGGGGATGGACACGGGGATGGACACGGGGATGGACACAGGGATGAACACTGAGATGGACACGGGGATGGACACGGGGATGGACACCAGGATGGACACAGGGATGGACACAGGGATGGACACTGAGATGGACATGGGGATGGACACGGGGATGGACACAGGGATGTGGGACACAGGGATGGACATTGCAATGGACACCAGGATGGACACTGGGATGTGGGACACAGGGATGGACACTGGGATGGACACAGGGATGTGGGACATGGGGATGGACACAGGGATGGACACTGGGATGGACACAGGGATGTGGGACATGGGGATGGACACAGGGATGGACACAGGGATGGACACAGGGACGGACACAGGGATGGACAGAGGGATGGACACTGGGATGGACACAGGGATGGACACGGGGATGGACATGTAGGGGACACGGGGATGGACCCCAGGATATGGACACTGGGATATGGACATCAGAATCCCGGGATGGACACTGACATGGACACAGGGATGTGGACACAGGGATGGACACCGGGATGGACACCGGGATGGGGGACACAGGGATCGACACAGGGATGGATATGTAGGGGACACAGGGATGGACACCAGGATATGGACACTGGGATATGGACATCAGAATCCCGGGATGGACACTGAGATGGACACCAGGATGGACACTGGGATGGGGGACACGGGGATGGACACCAGGATATGGACATTGGAATCCCGGGATGGACCCAGGGATATGGACACTGGGATGGACACAGGGATGGACACAGGTATGGACAGCAGGATGGACAGCAGGATGGACACAGGGATATGGACACCGGAATCCTGGGATGGACACAAAGATGGGGGACACTGGGATGGGGGACAGGGATGTGGGACAGGGATGGACACTGGGATAGGGGACACCAGGATATGGACACTGGGATGGACACAAGAATGGACACAGGGATGGACACTGGGATGGACACATGGATGGACATAGGGATGGACAGTCGGATATGGACACCGGAATCCCAGGATGGACACTGAGATGGACACAGGGATGGACACAGGGATGAACACGGGGATGGACACAGGGATGGGGGACACTGAGATGGACACAGGGATGAACACCAGGATGGACACAGGGATGGACACGGGGATGGACACTGAGATGGACACTGGGATGGACACTGGGATGGACACAGGGATGGACACAGGTATGGACAGCAGGATGGACACTGGGATATGGACACCGGGATATGGACACCTCCCGTTATCCCAAGGTTTTTCCAGGCCCCTTCCCGGGAATTCCTCACCAGTATTCCGGGTTTTCCATCTTCTCCAGGAACAGGTCCAGCTCGTCCTTGCTCCTCAGGGGTTTGTAGATCTTCTTCCCGTCCAGGTCGTAGCCGATGTGCGGGAAATCCTGGTACCATTCCATGGGAATGTTCCCCACCGTGTTCCGGATGTCCTGCAGGGAAAAAACGCCGGGAAAAGGGTCAGGGGAGGGCGGGGAATTCCAGGGAATTCTCAGGGAAAAGGGTGAGGGAATTCCAGGGAATCCTTGGGGAAAAGGGTGAGGGAATTCCAGGGAATCCTTGGAAAAAAAGGTGAGGGAATTCCAGGGAATCCTTGGGGGAAAGGGTGAGGGAATTCCAGGGAATCCTTGGAAGAAAAGGGTGGGGGAATTCCAGGGAATCCTTGGAGATGCTTCCAGAGGAAAACACAAGGAAAAGGGTGAGGGAATTCCAGGGAATCCCTGCTGAAAAGGGTGAGGGAATTCCCTGGATTTTGGCTGCAATTCCCCAGATTCTGGCTGCAATTCCATGGATTCTGGCTGCAATTCCATGGATTTTGGCTGCAATTCCACGGATTTTGGGACTCCCTGTGCCCCCAACCTGTGCCCAGGACCATCTCCACATCCCTGGCTGTGATTCCACGGATTTTGGCTGCAATTCCATGGATTTTGGGAGTCCCTGTTGCCCCCCATGACCATCTCCACAGCCCTGGCTGCAGTTCCACAGATTCTGGCTGCAATTCCATGGATTTTGGCTCCAATTCCATGGATTTTGGGACTCCCTGTGCTCCCAACCTGTGCCCAGGACCATCTCCACATCCCTGGCTGCAATTCCATGGATTTTGGCCATGATCCCACAGATTT